GCAGCGGGCGGGTCAGGAGAGGTCTGCCACGCCATGTGGTCACCTCCGGGGGCAGACAGGGATCGAACTCATGCGGAAGTGGCTTTAGCTTCTTAATGCAGTGCTTTAACCCGCTGTGCCACCAGGGAGGGCCCTAATATGCATTTTTTAAATGGCTGAAAAAGTATCAGACACAAAACCATTTTGTAACATGTAAAAACCTGTAGGTAATTCAATTTTAGTAATTAAAAATTTTTATCAGAATACAGCCATACATATTGTCTTTGACCATTCTTGTCTTGCAGTTGTGATGGTTTTGAAGTTTTGGTAAGAACAAACAGCACACAGAAATTAAAAATATTTACTATTTGATCTTTAACAGGAGATTGGCTGGCTTTTGCTATAAACAATTACTATTTGGCTTCACTGAACCTTAGGATTTGCTTTTGTTTTTGTTTGTTGGGAAATACTAAACAGCATTTCTTTCAGAGGACTGTCATTAGGACTAAATACATGTCAGCTATTATTATAGGTACTTTGCCACGCTGCTTGCCAAAATATTATTGCCATTGTTGTTATCTTGAAACCCCCTTCAATAAATAATATTGAATTGTAATCATTTTATAATATTATTTATAGTAACAAATATTTTTAGTCACAAAAACATTTTATTAGCAATGTATATTAAACAAACAACAATAAATCAATACTAACAGCAATCATTACTTTTTTCACATTACACTTTTCTATTACACTTTTCATAAGCTCATCAGAATACACTGATTTCTGCTCCGTTGCCAAAACATTTTCTGCAATTATTGAAGTAAGGGGGCTTTGTGTATCTTAAATATTTCATGTTAATTATTAAAACATTTCAGCTTAATATTGTAGAGTTAACCTTTGCCAAAGGAAAATTAGATTGAATACTGCTACTCAGTTGTTGGAAGTAAGGAATGATGATGCTAAGCAAACATAAGGAAGTGGAGTCTGGAAGTTATAGTAAAGTCTATGTAAAATAGTATCAAGGATTTTAATCCTTAAATATTTTCCCAGAAGTTTATGTTATCAGAATTTTTAGTGCTTCATTAGTAACTTAGAAACAGAAAATTTTCAGTTAACCTGATCTATATTTTGATGTTAGGCAGGCTTTGCTATACTTTTATAGCTTTCTAGAAAAACACACTATTCCTTTTATGGAACTGTTTCAAGTGCTTACTTGAAACACACATCTTACTTTTTATTGCCTTCCCAAAATGTAACTTAATTGACCAACTCACATAAAATATATGAGGAAAAATATCTACCAAATTGAAATGAGTTCAAACTAAGAATCCTTATAGATGATTAAACAAAGCCTTCAAAATAACTGCACAAATTCTTGATCACACGATGGTGACATACATGATATTTCCTCAGAAGAAATGGAACAATTAAGAAAAGACTTGGCTTCTGCTTTTGTACTTAGCTACCCTTTTTTTTCCACTGTCATGTTACTCTACCTGTTCTACTCTCTAGAAAATACTGTTATCACTTTAAAAGTATTGTCCAGTATTTTTTGTAATGTGGCACAAAAACTCCACTCCTTCATTTTCTATGTTTATAGCAAGCAATATAGAGGTTGTACTTTCTAATAATGCAGGAAGGATATTATGAATTAAAGCTCACTAATTAACTAATGCTTAATCAGTCTCTTGCTGGGTAGTCCAAGGAAAGGCATAAGACAAATATATTTTCCTAAATGCTCTCTTAGTTTATGAATTCTCTGTAGGACAATTAATATATATATGTATATTATATATATATATTATAAAATACCATATATATATATTAGATAGCCAGTAGTCCTTTTACTTTTATTATAATAAAAACCATACCTTATGAAAGGTCGTGTCACTGCAAGGATTGTTCTGATGAACCAAGATGGATGAACAATAATGAATGATTTCAAATTCTTCCGCAATCTGTTTTGTAAAAAGAAAAAAAAAATTACTCCTAATCCGCTTTCAATGGGAAGTTAAGCAGAAAATGTCTGAAATTAAATATTATATATAAATATATAATATAAAATATTAGAGAGTTCCAGGCAAGTTCCTATCTAGTGGTTAAGATTTAGAATGAGCATAATTAATAAAAATATGCTTTTTGAGATATAATTTGAAACATGTATGTATGATTCAAACCTCATTTTTCCATGAAATAAACTAACACAGAGTGGTTGTTTCCTTAGTGTGTGCATGCATCTCTCATCAGCATTGTATAATGATGCTTTTCATTTTTATTGTCACTATCTTTACTATTTACAAATATAGCCTGAGTAGCCACTTGGACAATGTATTTGCTCTTACTGAGTCATGGTTTTTTCTTCTGGTGATCGTAATAACAGAAGTGCTGCTATGTGCAGAGGAGCACTGGCTGCTCTTGGTATTCAGGCATAGCTTTAGTGGTGCTACTTTTTGAGTTCTTGGGTTCTTAAATGATTTCAGTTAATACAAAAGGAAATGCACACGTTATGCAAGGAGTCAGATCTAAGAGGATGCCACACATGTTGTAAGCAAATTTTTAAAAATTATCATAGCTTGTGTTCTAATAACTTTTTATTATCACAACAAGTTGTATTCATCAAACAAGTATGGATGAAAATGAAATATCTTGAGAAAGGGACACACAACGATATCATCTAGACTCCTGGTTAACTTGAATTAACAGTAAGTGTTGAAATAAAAGCATGAAGGTGGCCCAAATGACAGCAGTCACAAGCAAACAGCAGCACAGCCACAAGATACCTCCATGTGGTATCCATAGTTTAAAACAGACTTGGTCTCCAGGCATTAAGCTGCAACATTTAACACAATCTGGGAAAGATTTGCTTTATTTCAAAATTGGGACATCAAGTGACACTTTTATTAATATTTGTAATTCATTATCTTAAATCTCTACTAATTTAATGTTCCTAAAATGTGATTGCATTTTTGATAGATTTAAAGGAAGTTCGGTAGGGGGTTACTGAGGAAGTCAAAACAGGGATTCAACAGACCCCACATACCGTCTATCAATCATCTGGTAGCACTTCTTCATCCAGCCTAGCCCTGGCATCCTCCGTCTTGGGGTTGCGCCATTCAAATACACAATCATATAGTCTTCAGCTACCATCAATTCTAAAGTGCTTATTACATATCTGATCAAAGGAAGGAAGAGGAGTGTTTTCAGTTCCCACATGATATACTTCATCTTATTTACATCATAATTATGAAACATTTAAATCACAGGGTGTAAGACATCTAAAAATACTGCTTCTTCACCTTAAGAAAGTTACCTAAAATCAATGACAGTGAGTATTGCTCATATATTTGTACAGCTATGTCTTTCTCTCTTCCTCTCTCCCATCCCTTCTATCTTTTTTTAAGATGTATTTTTTATTTATTTGTTTTTTATTTATTTATGCATACAGAACGGGGGCGCAAGCCAGAGGTGCGGGGGCGGTGAGAGGATTCACCGGAGACAGAGTGGGGAGCAGAACAGGCTTGACTGTCGAAGTACACTGCTGAGGGGAGCAGGGGGCCAGTCAGGAGTGGTCTGCCACGCCATGTGGTCATCTCCGGGGCAGGCGGAATCGAACTCATATGGAAGTGGCTTTAGCTTCCCAGTGTTGTACTTTAACCCACTAAGCCACCAGGGAGGGCCCTCTCTATCTTTTTAATGTTGTACCCTAGAAAAATGTGTGGGTTAGAAGTCTGACTTTCAAAAATATCAATGGAGTCATCTTTGTGTGTGTGTGTGTGTATAAAATGTGTTTATATATACATATATATTTATATATCTTAGTTGATATATAAATGTCAACTAAGATCAATTAATGAGAAATATAAGTGAAATCAGGTTATTATAAATTGACTAAGAACATGTTATTGGGACACAAAAACAAATTTCACCTACAGGAAATGTTACAGAATAAAAAAATCACAGCAAAATTGTGTTCATTAGTTTTCAATCTATTCCATTGACAAAAGTTCCTTTAAAGTTTTTAGACTCCTGAGCATATTTCTTGAAAAAGATTTCATTGACTTTTTTATCAAATACTTAAAATATTCTATATCATCTATTTCCTTTTAATAATGATGATCTGTCATTACAGAGCTTGCTTACTCCAAGCACTTTGCCATAAGTATCACTCACAGGAAAAGATTTTCCATGACATAGTGGTAATCCGCCCGATTGCTGTCTGGCAGAAAGCAGGCGGCAAACACAATGATGGCATTGAGACCGTCCCCATAGTACCCTGGGGGACAAACAAAAAGACATTTGTAACCAGCTGAAAGCTCTTAACAAGGTACTATTTAACCTAAAGGATAAATCTGGAAGTCTTGGCAAAGGAATATGGATGTAAGACACATATCTTTAAACACTTTTGTAGGTATACATATATATATATATATAATTATCTTTCAAAGATAAATATACATGTTACAGAGTCTTGAATATGGATAATGTGAATAAATTTTTATAACAGAATGGGGTGGTTATATATTCAACTGACTTAAGGAAGAGGAGCCAGACTTTTTCACTGAAGTGTTTCTAATTTACATGCTTTTTTTCCTTTAATGCCTAAAAAAAATTCTATCTGATCCTCTTTAGCTCTTTTAGTATTAGATCTCAGTTAATTCGAAGGTAAAATGTAGCTACTGAACTGCAATATAATTGCATACTCACATACTCCAGTGACCAGACAAATAAAACACCTTTATTTTGGTTTCAAAGCCTGATCCATTTGCCTGTAGTGTTGCTGGGATCTCCAAATTCAATGGGCAGTACACAGGTATGTGGAAATATCTGGTCAGTCCTAGAATAACTGAGCATAAAATTCAGAGCCTAGTCTCTTAACAAAAGTGCAAACTTAAGAAGGGCCTGGCTATAAAAACTATTTCTGAGTTTTATGAAATTCAGAAATATGTGCTTTGGGGAAAGCTTGGAAATTGCTTTCAGGGAATAGGGGTAGGGAAATGCTACTTATAGTTGGTAGTGGGGAAATAAGAGGTCAGATTTGTAGGCAGGTGTGGCCATTGAAACTCCAAAGTCAAGGAGAAGGCAGTGTTATCTCAGGGCATATTTAGCCACTGTTAAAAGTTCTGATATATATAGTCTTATAGCTTAGCTCATCTTTGACATTCATGGCAGGTGCTGATCAGATACAAACCCTATAAGTTTGTATATGGAGTCTCGTGTGTCTTCTGGACTTTGTATTTTAATGTTCCTTTTTAAACACTCACTGTCATAGAATACAGTTTTGAAATTGTTAAACAGAGATTTTCTCAAAGCTTTGAGTAGGAGGACAGGACACACCCTGAGGCCTGGCCCAGCCCTCTCAGAAGGCAGTGTGTTTCATTCCTGCAGTGTTCTAAATACCCCTCTGGTGATTACATGGCACTAAAATACTGGCTGGATATATACTTGGATGGGTTTACCTCTTAAAAAACAGTTTAATAAGATGTTTTCTACAAAGATAGAGAGTAGGACTCTCCCACAAAAAAGGTGTGTGTATGGGGGTGGGGGGAGAGAGATACCAACTAAAAATACTTCAAATGATGGGTCTGTGCATATTACTCTTCGGAGGCTGTTACATACAGTTGCGTGTTCGGCCACATCTCTCAAAAGATGCTCTCTGTGTATGCATACACCTGATACAACACATTTTGGAAAGAGCGTCCCTCTAAAGGTTTTTCTTTAGCTCCATTATGTCCTCTATTTACCAATTTCTTTTTAGACTTTGTTATAAAGGAGAATGAAAACAGATGTATTTTAAACATTAAATGTTTGTTCCACTCATTTAAGAATCATAACTGAATGAAAATGTACAAAGGATAGGGTGGGTTAACTACACTGATCCTAAACCACGAGGATATGAAGTCACGCTCAGCACAATAAATGAGACTGAGCTCATTAAAGGAGACAGTGGATGTAATAAGTCCAACATAGCAGTAAATATAACAGCATTCTGCATGCAGCTATTTGGCTCCAGGGAGTCAGAATAATTTCAAGATCATGATGGTCCTTTTTCATTTTCTGAGAATTTCTAAGATCTTTTTTCAAAAAGGAAAGGTTGAGGATTATAAATAGCACTTCGCAAGTTATCTTAATTGGCAGTCAGCTCTTTGTGTCAATGCTATCTGTCCTTGGAAGGATGTGGTATCACTGTCACTAGAGTTCATTTAACCATGGAATACTCAGAGATCCGCTTACCAGTTCGTGATCATTCTTTTTGTATAAAGAGAACGTCTTTATATAAAGGAATGACAGGAATGTCTCTTTAAAGATAACTGAAAATTATAAAGGAAGATTTGTGTGTGTGTGTGTGTGTGTGTGTTTACTTTTGAGTGGGGGACCTGTAGGAAGGAGAAAAGAAAAGAAGGGCACAGGATAATATATAAGATGTAAGAAAGGAAATAGAAGAGAAATATTTTCTCAGGAAAACATTCTGTCTAAACTAGAGCCAGTGCCACTGCTGTCAGATTTTGGGACTGTTTCAGATGGTAACTGTTGGCAAGGTGCAGTAATTAGGGTGAGTATGCCCATTGCTTTTGGCCCTTGCAGGTGCCTTCAAGGTGGGTCAGCTAGCCCATTTCTAGCCTGAAAACAAAGTGCACACAAGCAAAGTTGCCTGTCAGTAACTGCTTTTGAAGTTTGTTTTTTTTTAGACATGAATGGCTCTCTTCCTAATAGCCACAAAGGGAACTCCAGGTGTGTATGTTGAGGCGCATGAGCAATCCCACTGAGGTGCTTCCTGGGACCCTCTGAAGCAATGATGCAAACCTTACCTGAGGTAGAACACAGAGGAATGTAAGGGGATGTAACACAAGTTTGCTGGCCAGCAAATGGAATGGAGAGAGAAGGAAAGATGGCACAGTCATAGCGCACGCATGCTCACATGCACACTCGCGTGCGCGCACGCACACACACACACACGCACGACCAACGTCCCTAGTCTGCAATTCTTCTCCTCATTCTTTCCAGGCTCACTTGTCCAGTAACACTGCAGAGAAGGTTACCTGAATCTCCTATAATAAGATAAGAGAAGTAAAGAGACAAGAAAGGAAAACTCCTTGTTAACAACACTTTGACATGACTATCCTTGGTTATTTAAATGCAATCTTTGCTCCAAGTTGAAAAATGTCAGTTCTGGCCTCCAAGTAACCCCATACTGTTGACTGATCAAAACAACCCAGATCTTTCCTTGCTTTTCATTTAAGCAGATGCAGGGATATAACTTATGGGCTCGTAGGAGGTGGCCGAGGAGGGTGAGATCACCCTCCCTCTTTTGACTGATGAAGTAACAGAGGTTCAGAGAAGTTAAAGGCTACAGACTAAGATGGATCTTAAATATAAACCACCTACCAACAGTGCATACTGAGGTCACCAAAGCAAAATTATTGTTCAAATATTGTCCCTGGCACTGGTGTTCCCAACTGGTGTGGACCCTGGCAGTCCTACATTGTGATGAACGTAGGCAGTCTCTGAACCACCCTGATTTTGTAGCTGTGCAGCACCAAACACTGCACAGCTGCCGCCTTCCTATTAGCCTGCCCAGGAAACTCCCTCCTAGCACAATGTAAGGTACGAGAACAGGACCTGTGCTCACTAAGTAGGGCTGCTTTTTCAAAGCTCATCAAAAGCCAGGACGACCAAATCAACAGAACAGCCACTGGGAGAATTGCTTTTTCATTATGAAGGTCTAGAGAAGTGGTGTGAGCTTTAGCACAGCAGAGCTTTGACAAATTCAGAAGGAACATTTGAACTATCTGCACCTGCAGAGCACAGAAGCCGTCCAGGGTTTAGGAAGGGTGGCATCTCACTAGTGTCCGAATGGGTGCAGCCAGGGGCACAATCATGCAGGCCAGCACCTGGAGCAGGCCGAGACAGGATAAGGAAAGGTAGACTTCCCGTCCAAACAGACCAGAGAGTCACACAGGCTTACGACACAGGATGGAGAAGAGCGAACCCAGCAGGGACATGGGCACAGCAAACCAGGTTATCCCTGAGGCACTGGCTGAGTGTTCAAAAGGAAGGTGTCAGGCAGAAGCAGGAGGTTGTCCGACCCTCACATGCTGGTAATAATCACTCTCTCTGGATCTGAGGAACTGACTGACAGGGCTCAACCCACATACCCAAGTCACTTAATTCCATTGTGGTCGAAAGAACAAGTCGGACAGTCTACTGGGGTAGTAAGAGATCATCTGACCCTCCGACAGTAGTGAAGCCTGTCTTCTTCAAAACAAGGGGGCTTCTTAATCTAGGACCCAGGCTAAACATTTATAGATGCATCACAGGTGACTTTGATGTACTTTTCTACATTTTTTGGGTGCTTGTTAATGGGTACAGGCTATTTTAGTGCTCGATCTTTGTTTTGTTTTTCAATAAACAAACAAACCCAAAATACCAGTTGGTTGGAACAAAGGAGGTTTGACTTTCCGGGAAGATTTGGATGCTGTTCAAATGGTGTTTTTCATTCTAAGAACAAAAAGGTTGACTCTATAACAGATTATCTGTCACTTACAGCTGGATTAAGCCAGCTCTCAAGAAGAACCATGGGAAAGTTTTCCCTTGGAGGAAACTACCCCTAGCCCCACAACAGTTCCTGGATCTGTTTTACCATTTTCCGTTAAATAGTGAGGTAAAAAAAATTAAAAAAGAAGGTCATGGCCAGGGCTCCTAGAGGTATCTTGCTTATCTTATCTAGGCCACCTAGCCCTGAGTTGGTGCTGATACTTACATGCGGGTAGCAATGCACAGGATGAAGGTGGAAAATTGGCTGGTGAAGAGAAGTCTGATTGAAAAAATAAAATGTCCTTCTCCTTGTTAGAAAACAAAAGCTAAGGGTTTAATGCAGCACTAAGATGCTTATTTCCCTATGCTTGTTAAGGAAGAGTGAAGTTAGAGAACAATGACTGCCTTGTCAGCTTATACTTTTTCTGGAACAGCTGAGTGGTTAGGGTGGTGCTTGGGGCCTGCAGGAAAGGAGTACATGCAGCAGGGAAATCAAAAAGCTGTTTTGTTTTCTGAAGTTGACAATATTAAATGTGTTGCTTGTGCTCATCCACTTTTGGTGAGTCCCGATTAATCAAAGCTCTTGGAGCTCCAGGAAAGCACTGGAAATACAAGATACTGCTTTCTCCTCCTCCTTGTCCCTCAATTAACAGGTGGAGGCTTTGGCTCCAGGCTGCTGTTAACTGGCTGTCAGGCATACATGCCATGAAGTACATAGAAAAGCAACCTTGAGTTGGGAAAAATAAAACAACCAGGCTGGGTTTAAAATGATTTCTAAAGCTTCTGAGGAGGATTCCAAAGACCGTTTGGTAATTAGAAGCACCCCAGGTATAGTTATCTTACTACAGCCTATCGGGATACAGACTCTACGGTCCCCTGGACATGGACTAGTAAACAGATCTTTGAGATGTCATTCTAAAGAGAACTCTACTTGGACTTTCTACACACAATATAACTACTCCTTCCCTACTTCCAGGACTAGCAGAGAGCTTGACTACCTCCATGAGAAATGACTCTCCTGTAGGGCTCGATGACCTTCATGTCAATTCTCTGCTCTTGCTCGCCAATCACCACAGTCCTCCACAACCGGTTGTCCTCCCGTTCTTCTTCTGCTGTATATTCTGGAATAGACTCTGACTCTTGACCAGAATCTTTGTTGGCTGTGGGATCTTCTGCAGAGGAAGCACAGAGAAGGCTGAGGAAGGAGACCTTCACATTTGAGGCTGTTCAACAATTAGCAACTGCCTGATAGAGAAACCGGATGGAGCTCCCTGATTTGTATAGCTCCTGGAGAGATTCACATCACCTTGATCACAAACAGGACACTCATTAAGTCTAAATTATAGACTGATTTAATAACTGAATCTTTAATAATTAAATTCACTGCTAAGATGGGGCACAGGTATGGAGCTAGAGCTGACTTAAGTCAGTAGTGTGGACCACTGGGGTGTAGGCTGGTTGCATCTTATTCTTGACCAGATAGGTGGAAGATTTCAGTGCTTTAGGGCAAAGGCTATTAACAGGCCCAGATAATCTTGTTTGCCTTGGGTCATATCCCCTAACCTACCCTGAGTGCTCACATGTTTTCTTTCTCTATATACCTCAGCCTGGTATTTTGATGATTTCTCTAGCCTGGGCCCTTGTCTTGAGACCCAATGAAGCTGAATTCCTGTCCCTTTGGGGAGCACATCTGAAGATAAATTTGATATTACTTCCGATGGATTTCTCAAGTGTGCTACAGAAAGATTTGGTAGTGACACACAAACAACTTTGTAGGCCAGAAGTACTCTAAGGCCTAAAGTTCACAAAAATCCTATTTGTCAGTATATATGGGGGTGTGTGTGTGGTGGGGGAAGGCCCACTGGGCATTCTTTGGGAGGGATTTACTACTTACTCTTGTATATCCAAAAAACTAAGATTTTTTTGGTATTTTAAAAAAAATAATATAATTGTTTTTATAACATGTTGTGCCTTTTTCCATTTCAGCTGTAATCCCTGTGAGCTTTCCATGGCCAAATCACCTGTGTGCCATCACCATAGTACAGTGTACTTCCTTCCCTCTACTGTTTTTTATTCTATTCCCCATCCCACCCCTGTAAAATGTTCATTATTATTATTTTCTACCCTGGCCCTTTTTACTCCGGCTATGAGTGAAACCATCTGGTATTGTTCCTTTTCTTTTAGACTTATTTCACTAAGCATGATCTTTTCCAGCTCCATCCATGTTGCTGCAAAAGGTAAGTGTTTATTTTTTTGATAGCTGAGTAATAGTCCACTGTGTATATGTATCACATCTTTTTAATCCAATCATCTACTTTTGAGCATTTGGGTTGTTTCCAAGTCTTTCCAATTGTAAATGAAGCAGCAATAAACATAGAGGTGCAGGTGTCTTTTTGAATCAATGTTTTTGTGTCTCCAAAACACATGTTTTTTAAAAAAATATTTTATTTATTTATGCATATTAGAGCTGGGGTGCAGGCCAGAGGTACAGGGGTGGGAGGGTTCACCAGATGCAGAGTGGGGAGCAGAACAGGCAGATCTACTGAAATACAGTGCAGAGGGGAGCAGTGGGTGGGTCAGGAGAGGTCTGTCACACCATGTGTGTCAGGTCCCTAACCAGGGACCAAACCTGTTCTGCAAAGGTTGTGGATAGCCTCATAATGCTGTGCTTTGACCCCTTGCACCACCAGGGAGTCCCCAAAATGTAAGTTTTAAAAAGAAAAAGCAGCAGTTGTTACCAATTTTATTTTAAGTACCAGAAAGTTTAACAATGGTTATTCTTTGTATGTCTATGTAATCTGAAGGGAAAGATTATTGATTACCTTCAAAATAATTCTGTGAGATACTATCATTCTTATTTTTCCACTAATGGGAAATAAGCTTTGTATTCTGTTTGTGGCACTTTGATAACAATAATAGTAGTGGCATTTTATTCAAGCACAGCAGTTGGTATTATAAACAAGACATCACTGTAAAAACTAACTCCTCCGTAGTTCTCAGGTCACAGGGATAGTAAGCAAATATTAAACCTTATCTTTTCTACTCTTTTAAGTTATCACATTTTATCTTGATTATATAATGTCTCATTTGAGCTTTTTTTTTTTTTTTAAGATTTATTTATTTATGCATACAGAACTGGGATACAGGCCAGAGGTACAGGGGTGGTGAGAGGATTCACCAGAGACAGAGTGGGGAGCAGAACAGACAGATCCATGAAGTATACTGCTGAGGGGAGCAGCGGGCAGGTCAGGAGAGGTATGCCATGCCATTGTGGATCACCTCCTGGGTGGGGATCGAACTCATGCTGAAGTGGCTTTTAGCTTCTTAGTGCTGTTCTTTAACCCACTGTGTCACCAAAATAAGCTCGTTTGAGCTTATTTTACTGTGAGGTTGGAATTTCTTGGTCTAAGAAATCGTGCCTCTATTTACAATAGCCAAGATATGTAAGCAACCTAAATGCCCCAGAAAGGATGAGTGAATCAAGCAGGATGAGTGAATCAGGTGCAGTATATATGCACAGTGGAATACTACTCAGCAATCAAAAAGATAAATTCATGTCATTTGTGGCAACACAGATGGAGCTCAAACAGATTATACTAAGAGAAATAAGAGAGAAGGAGAAAGATAAATATTGAATACTTTCACTTATATGTAGGATACAGAGAGACCAAAGGAAAGGTCAAAGGGAAATCTTGAAAGCTGACTATAGATCTGAGATATTCAGTAGGGGAGGAGAGAGAGATGGAGAGATGAAAACAGGATGGGGAAAAGCACACAAGACTATGACTAAGGCTACCAAAAGAAGGAGATGCTGGGGTGAGAGCAAAGGGGAGATGAGGGTCTAATGGAGGATTACTGGGGATTTCATTACAGTGTGGTGAAATAACGTATGACTGCAGAGGTGTAAACCTATAAGACATAAACCATAAGACATACACTATGATGTAAATATATAACACAATAAGTAAAATTAATTATTTATGTAAAATAAAAAAGAAATTGCTACTGATTATTTCAATGTTCACCTCTACCAACCCATTCCACGGTTAACCTGAAAATCTATACAGAACACGCAATAACAATTGAGAGGTGAATGGGCAAATAAGAGAGAGTTTGGGCAAGTTCCCAGAAATACAGGTAATCTATATGGGGTCCATAACAAAGCCATTGTGTACTAGAAGATTCTGCAAGACATATTCAAGTGCACCTAATTACTTATGACTTAGAATAGCAAAATGAAGTCCAGTTGGACAGCAATCCTAGCCTTTTTTTGCCAAAACAAACAGCTACCACCTCCTCAGAGCTTTGCTTCACTCTGGCTTCCTCTGCCTTCCCATGGGCACTCAGCAGCTTACTAAGGATGGAAAGCAGCAATCTTTGGCTTCAGATCAAGCACTGTGTCACTAGTGGAAATTCAATCATTTGCACTGGACATCCTGTCTGGATTCCCTCTTACTTCTCCCTCCCTACTTGGTTTAGGGCTTCTGGATGGCCATCATAACTCCCTTCCCAGACCCAGTTTTCCATGTAGTCTCTACTCCCTCAGCACCCTGGTCACTAATGTGGGCATGTCTTCTGATGCCTCTAACACACCTGCTTTTTCCTGTAATGAGCTCACCATGCACCTGCCCCTCGTCACCCTGTTTGGGACTTTTCGGATATGCTCTGGCTGAACCCCAGTGATCTGTGTGAAGTAGTTCATTTTGGTTTATGTGTATGTTTATTAAGAAGACATCATTTTTAAAAAATTGTATATTCTTTCTCCCCATTATAAGAGTAAAACACATTAATAAAAGTGCAAACTATATAGAAACTATTCATGAAAACAGCATAAATGGCCAATGCCTCTCACTCAATATGCTTGATGTGTATTCTTTCCATGTGTGCAGCCACAGCATACTTTATTTACCAAAATGTTTGAGTATTCTATATATTCTGCTTGCTCCATACATACTGTGGTATCACACACTATTATCTAAGAATATAGCACAGACTTCGTTTCGTCTCAGTGAAACTTCATTTTTTTTAAATGACTTTGGGCTTAATAATCAGAAAATTTAGCTCTGTTCCATTTTGTTGCTGTTGTTCTCTATAAAGAGTGTGCATCTTTGTGCAAGTTTCTTATGTCATTTGTGCACCTGCTGCACAGTGTGCTGCATCAAGGGGCAAACGCATGTGAGCTTCACATGGGCACTGCGGTTCTTGAATAGGTCACATTGAATATGAACTTGTTCTCCACAATGTCAAAAACACTGAAGGCTATGAAAGTCTTAAAAACCCTTAGCAATTTAGGGGGAAACTTGTCTCAATGTGGGGTCAATGAGTACTTCTGTAATTATTAAATAAGGTAAGAATTTTCAAGTGTTTATTAGCGATTTCTATTTCTGTTATTGGCAGGAAGCACCCATTAAAAGTCCTTTGCTTACTGCGATTTATTGGTATTGATTTGTTTGAATTTTTTATATAGAACTTTGTCATGTATTCAAATTATTTTCCTGATTTATGCTTAGCTTATAAATTTATCTGTGCATTTTTCAATTAGATATTTAATAATTGTATATAATTGAGTCTATTAATTTTTGCTTTTATTTTTTATTATTATATCACTGTAAAAAAAACTATACTTTTACCTTAAAAGTATGCATATAGATACATTTTCTTTCATTTTGGGGGAAGATTATTTATGTTCATAGAACTGGAGTACAGGCCAGGGGGAAGGGACGGTGAGAGGATTCACCAGAGACGAGTGGAGGGCAGAACAGGCAGAGTGATGAAGAACACTGCTGAGGGGAGCAGCAAGTAAAGCAGGAGAGGTTCTGCTGCGCTATGTGGGTCACCTCCCTAGCCAGGGATCCAACCCATTCTGAGGCAGTTGCAGCCAGCTTCCTGTGCTGTGCTTTAACCCGTTGTACCACCAGGGAGAGCCCTCTTACATTTTTATTTTAAAAGCAGCACCATTACTCATTAGGTTGGGGGGCAGGGGTTACCCTGTTCCCCACCCCCACTTCCATGAAGCCATCTTGGGCTGGTTGCTGGGAAATGAGGGTAGAACTGAGAGGCCAGGTAAAGCCTTTTAATGTGGAAGGCAGATGGCTAAGAAAGGCCTCTTGCTTCTCCAGCTTGGACTTGTACCCAGGGATAATGGAAGGAGACACATGCAGGAAAAACATATAGAGACACTTGAAAGAGACCCATGGGTTAGAGACACATGGGAAATCTGTCCTTGACAGAAAAAATAGCAGCCGTTATCTTGATTTGATTTGTACTTTTATTTTTGGCACAGAATCACCTACCTGGCCTCTTTTTCATTTTACTCCATTAGGAAGTAGCGTAGACTTGTGGCAATCTTTAGGGCCTCAGTGGCCCTACTCAGGCCAACCCTATTTGGCCATCTGTCCACAGGGGATGGTAACCTTGGGTGTTTTACTGGAAAACTATTATTAGCAAAATCTTCCTTTCTCTTCCCTCTCTATGCATACTAATTCTATTAAAGAAGTATTACACTGTGAATCTGCCTTTGACTCTATGTATCCCTATTTTAAAACATGTGCAGCATCTGTTTGGGGTCCCTGGGTACCCATCAGTTGTACACTAACAGTTTTGGTTCAGAAGTTGGAGGCTGGATCTTTTTATGAAGTTATTCCTAACGTATCATCAAATGATAGCTTAAATGTTGCCTTTCATGGTAAATTTCCAGAATTTTGTCTCTTTCCTCACCTCTTCCGATTGATGTAAATGAGCAAAAGAAGTTATTTAAGAGGTAGGGGTACAATACATTCTCTTAAGGTGCTTATTTTTGAAAGGCAGCAATATAAGCTAGTAAGATATAAACTTAGTTTTATTTACTTCCTTGAATTACCAATATCTTCCCAATCTTAATAAATCATCTGCTGTAACTATAAATTACCATCTCCCCCTGGGCCATTATTTTCTCACTATTTTCAAAATTTTCAGGTCTCATTTAACTTTGTATCCCCAAGCCCTCCAAATTTAATTTTTGGTCTCATGCTCTCTTCACTGAGAAATGCTTGATTTCTTTGTTTCCTTTTCGCAGTGATGAGATTATCTCCCTGGTGACTGTTGAAGTCAATTAAGCCTTAGTACACAGGGGAGAAGCCAACTTGAACGTTTTCTTTTGCCTTCCGGGAGATGATTTTTACACACAAATTCTTCCATGTCCTGTTCTACATAGATCACAATGTGGAATAAGTCTACCGTTCAGATTCACCATGGACTATGTGGCAATGATATCCCTAGTAGCTTCCAGTAAGGACATTCTTCTATGAAAATTTCCTGTAACTTGACCTTGCATTGATGGAATGAGTAATCTTAGAAGATACTATGTTCAGCCTTTTTCTTGTTAGGGAAAAAAAACAGCCAGAATACAATTAAGAAGTTTTTACATTTCATCTGGTGACAAAAAGTAGTAGTTCTTGTAAGTTGAAAACCTTGGTTTACAAAAGAAAGTAAAAACAGCTTTTCAGATGATGTCATTGTGGCATAAGGTTGCTTGTGGGTAAAACAAAGTAAATGTAACACTTGATTAATTTCCATGCAGAGTTAAAACATGGAATTGATTTTATAAGTCAGTTGCCTGCAGGCTGTGAAAATAATGGAAGACTATAGATATAGAAGTTAAATGAAATGACTCTGATTATCTGAAAATAATGTTGGGATAACTTATTCACATAGAAAATGTCATTAGGGAATTAGCATTAAAAATGCTAGTTTAAATGAGGTCACTTAACATCACTTAGGGACCTAGGAAGAAGATATAAGACTGCATGAATATTTTTATAATGTTCTTATCAGAATTAGTCAGGCTAAAATTCTTCATCATTTTTCCATTTCCCTTATGAAATGCTTTTGCTGAGATATGAAGTATGGTAAAAAATAACTTTTTGGAAAAAAGAAATAGGTCATCATTTTTTAGACCTTTGATATTTTAAAGTTTCTGTGATTTGTATAATAAAGCACTTTTTGAAAACCCAGACAGTTCAAATCTCCTTTAGTATGAAAGATTGATCTTTAAGTCCCTCACAATCTGTATGTTTCTGATCTCTTTGGCACTATCACCTTAAATTATACCATAAGTGATATATTCCAATTGTTTAGACAAAATTTTTTTAAAAATTGCTTGGAAGTGAAGAACAATTTAACATCTTCAGATAGTAAGAGTCAAAGTTTTCTGTCAACAAAATTACATTGTAGTCGAACACCCTCAAAGAAATGTTTGGTCATCAGCAAATGAATAAAACTGGCAAATGGTGTGAAAGTCCTTCAGGTGCTTGACAGAGTAGGGGCCTTCACGTCTTGTGAATGACTAGACAAAAAAGGGTACAAGTACGAGGTGTGCAGTTACGTTTGTCTAGTCAAGTAACAGGGCCTCCCTATTTACTCCATATAGTTATGGGGAAGCAGTGTGGCCCAGGAGCCAAGGACCAACTCAGGGTTTGAATGTGGCTCTGACATTTGTAAATTGTAGTTAACCTCAATGTCTCATCTAAAAAATGGAATGAAATATACCACATAGAGTTGATGTGAGGATTAAAGTATATAGAAATATTTATAAAGCACCCAGCACAGATCATGGCACACAGTAAGGACCATGCACATGTCCATTAAATGAAATAATTTACACACCAAATATGTTTGAAAACTATGCCTTAGAAATTCCAATGTTGCCTGGAATGCATATGATTCAAAATACTCATACAAGAACCAAAGAAAAATGCAGCTTTCAAGCACTATTTCATACTTTGGGACTAGACTGTATTCCAGTTCTTTTATATACTCCATTATCTATGGCTGCATATTTATAAGATCTAGTTCTTTAGACATACTGTTTTCAGCATTGAATGATTGTGTTTGTTTAAAAGTGTCTAAACATACATCTTTTATTTAATATTCAACTTACATTAAAATTCTATCTGTTGAGTTTAAAACCTAAAAGTAGAGCTGTGACTGTGAAGCTGGCTCTTTCAACACAACTATTTCAACTAAATAAAAAGAAACTATGTCAGCAAGTGGCAGCTTTAATTACCAGTTTGCGTAGATGCCACCACTTTGCTTGGCAGTTTTACTATTTATAAACATAAAAGGTTCAGATGTGGTGTGACACAGCTCCCTGGGGTAACAGGGAGATAACAGGAGGTGGCGTGGGAGGAGTAGGGAGGGTCCTGCCATCCCTGTCTCTTGCAGGATTTTAAGTTGAGGCATGAATTTTACATGGGAGAATATATTAGCAGGGAAGGGACTGGGCAGCTTGGATGGATGGAGAAGCTGGGAAACTCTCGAAAAAGAAGAGTGAGTTCAAGACCCTTCATCTCCTCTTTGTGAGTTTTAATCTACAATGTCAAATATCAAGATAACTAGAAAAATTAAAAAACATGTTAAAATGCAACATTATATTCTACTTAAACACAATGAACTGCGTGGAAACAATGAACTGCGTAGAAACAAGTCTCCCATTCTGTAATATAAGGTCTGACTCTTGACTCGCCATGGTGGCAGCCTGGTGGCTCAGTAATCTTTGGTTAATTCTGAGCTAATTCAATAAATTTCTAATCGGCATCTCCCATGGATGATACTGCTTGGATTAGTATGGCTTTAAAAGTCAGTATTTCATTTAATTGTGGTATTTTTTTCTAGCCAACTTTTTAAAGATTAAAAAAAATTAAGAAAAATTACAAGAAAATTCCAAGTTTTTACAATGCATCAAACAAGTAGTATGGCCAGGATTCACTTTCCAACATGATAAAATTAGAGAATGTGACCCTGTATGACAAAAACTACATGATACCATTTTTTAAAGCAAATACTTTGTATTTGTACATCTTACTTAAACAAAATTTCAGAGTAGAGGGGAAAAAATGAAACTGATACTTGTATCAGAAATGTCAGCAACTTTTTATTTTCTTCCTTTTTATCATTCTCGTTCTGCACCCTACTCTTTGCCTCTTTCCTTTCTAACTTTATTGGTGATATTGCAACAAATATAATAAAGTATTTGCCCTCATGGAGCAAATATTCTCCATGAAAAAAGATAAATATACAATAAACATGCAAATAGTTAAATGACTTGATTAGTGACACATGGAAAATAAAACGCATACTGAACTAGAGGATGAGTAGGGTTTGGGGTAGGAAATGGAACACATTTGAATACTGAAATCAAGAAATTCTGTGCAAAGAGATGACATCTGATTAAGATCTGAAAAAAGAGAAGTCATGTGTATTATAAGGATAAATTCTCATAGATTGGGAGCTTATACAAAGAAAGTGATAAACTGACTTCTCTACTTCAAATTTTATCTTGCAGATAGCAGATACTATTCTCTTCTTCTGCAAACCAAGCACCAATTTCATTTAACACAGCATGTGTAAAGTTTCCCTCAACACTAGCACCTAGCAAAAGACCTGGCATAGAGAAGGGGTCTAACAATAAAGCAATGGTTATATATGTGAATCAAGCCTTGTCCTGTCAAGTTTTAAGCCATCAGTCATAGCCACTTATTCCCTAAGATATGAACAGAAGCATCTAGAAATCACAGAAAGGAACCACTGGTAACAAAACAAGAGGTTTGTTTCAAAAACCACTTAGATAATTTTTCCCTTTTTATCTTTGACCTTGCCAACTTGGTGACTTACCATGTCCAGTGTACTCAAAAGAATCTGCTTCATCAGGGGTGTCAATTTCATCCACATTGATATCAATTTCATCTGGACTGTCCAAGTTATCATCAGAGAGAACAGATCCTTCACTTTGGTCCAGAGAAAGATTGATATTTGGGGCTGTGAGCTTGACTCTCCGAGGATGAGTATCATTAAGATCCAGAGAATTAGGAGGTTCTAGAGAAGAGAAAGAACAGCAGCATTAAGTACTGGACCAAAACCATGACTGCTAAGAGTGTGGATTCTAGTAAGTAACTTTTTAAAGCCCTTTAGCAAGAGCAGACCAGCTAAAAATCCATAAATGGGATTTTCTCCCTATTCTTGACCAGCAGACCTTGGCACTAGTTCTTCCTTGATCAAATAGAAATAAAAGGTTGGATTCACTGTGAAATGGGCAGAAACCTAGAACTACCCTATTCAGGTTTGACAATGTGACATAGCTATAACAGTGAATTGATGTTTATGTACATATTGCAAAAGGAAAAAAACAGTTAGGTTTACATGTCTTGTATAATAGTTCATATAGATTTACCACTATAATATGTGAGATAGAAAATTGTCAGTTATGTTCACAGACGCTCCCTGTTCCTGATGGCTCTGATGATCTGTCAGGAGCTCTTGAGGTATCCTCTCAGGTTACATTTTTTGAATCCACTCAAGCAGTTACCACCCCTATATCAATACTGCTTAACATTGATTTCTAAGCCATAAATAATAATCTTTTCATGGTAAAGCTTACAGAAGTAGCTGTCAATATTGCATATATTATTTCTTTTCTACTCATGTGTCTTCACTAAACATAAAGTTAAAGAAGTTATTTTTAAGGAAGTTGATCCAATTAAACATTTCAGAGAGTAAGGCTAAAAACAAAAATCTTAGGATTTCCTATGACAAAAAAAAATTTTTTTTTAAGATTTTATTTATTTATGCATACAGAACTGGGGTACAGGCCAGAGGTGCAGGGGCTATGAGAGAATTCACCAGAGACAGAGTGGGGCACAGAACAAGCAGATCAATGAAATATACTGCTGAGGGGAGCAGCAGGCAGGTCAGGAGAGGTGTGCTGTGCCACATGGGTCACCGCTGGGGCTAGGGATCAAACTCACACAGAAGCAGCCACAGCCAGCTTCGCAGTGCTGTGCTCCAACCCTCTGAGCCACCAAGGAGGGCCGACAAAAATTTTTAAAAAAGATTTATTTACATATGCATATAAGAACTGGGTACAGGTCAAAGATGCAGAGTGAGAGGACTCACCAGAGACAGAGTAAGGAGCAGAACAGGCAGAGCTACTGAAATATACGGCTGAGGGGAGCAGTGACTGGGCCAGAAGAGGTTTGCCTCACTTTGTGGGTCACCTCCCTGGCCTGGGATTGCACTTGTGCTGCAGTGGCTGCAGAGAGCTTCATAGTGCTGCACTCTGACCTACTGTACCATCAGGGAGGGCCCTCAAAATATTCTGAAGGCCATCTGGTATACCACTCAATTCTAGAATTCTCCATGATAAATCTGGTGAATTTAAATATTGTCAGAATGTGGTATAATGATATACAGTAGTGAATTACAGGAACTGAAAACTTTGGCAGGTATGACCCTCACTAGTGAACTTCAAGTCGACTCTGAAATTAACCACATTGAACCTAACACCTTCCTCACACACATATATATATATATATTTTCTCTCTCTCTTCACTTTCATCATAAGTTGGATGCATAAGAAATGGTTCTCTCACTGAATAATGAGAATGTTTGGATGTACAACACTTCTCAGGGGAATGAACAAATGCTCTTCTTACCAGGTCTCATGTCTGCAGCGTCAGGACTCAGCATTCCCTTCTCAAAGGAGATGTCCATTCCCACATCCTCTGACAGTTGTCTAAAAACAGAAAAGCAGAGTATGAGACAATTGTGATTCAGGATTTTGAAAAGGAAACCAAGTGATTCAGGATTTTCAGCTCACTTACTATAAACCTACTAGGTGGGCTGAATCTAAGCTAAGTGACCCTACATTGGAGTAAAGACTTTATCCTTGACTGAAAACCATAGACAACAATTTTCTCTGTTCATACAAATCACTTTCCTACCAGCTCATATAAGTCAATTTAAATAAATCAGAAAAGCAAAAAACTAATGAATTATTCATACAAGGATATTCTATATGTATTTGTTCAACAAGAGAGGCAATGCATATGCTATGGAGACTTGAGTTTATGTTTCTTAAACATGAAAATATTACTTAAATTGCTATGGACAGAAGAAAGCATACTCTGTCTACCTCACTTTCATTATTTGTAAATAGGGCCATGCCACCTAGCTCACTGATTTGTTGAAACATTAATGATGAAGGAAAGTAGCAACATCCTGCAAAGGTCCCAATTAATATTATTTTCCTTCGTTCTTTGATTATGCAAAGATTCTAAGTGAATATATGTCGGTGAAGATAGTTCATGTGTCACCATCTCTTCTTCCTAATCAGCACCCTGCCCAGAAGGTTTATTTTAACCCACATCTAAGATGAGAGTAGGGAATAGGAAAACAGCGCAGAAAATTGTTACACATCTATATACTATTATAGGAAGCTAATCACCAGTCAGTCACAGTGAGTTCCCCTTTATTTTCATTTCCCACCTCATAAGGTCAACTCTCATTTATCATGATAATGTACTTTTCTTTTTCATTTTTTCTAACTAATTTTAGTCACCTAAGGTGGACCCTTGTGATATAGTCACTAATCTAAATTTAAACACGATAAGCCTTTGTGTTAAAGTTCTAAATTTAGTTCTTTCTTCACTTTCTTCTTGAGACTTCTCTCCACCTCAATCTGGGTCTCCCAAACAAACATTTGGAGTTTCCATACCAGATGACTGATTTATCCAGGACCCAAATCACCCCCACCCCATACCATTGTTACTAAGGCAATGAAATAAAAATTCTACAACTATAGTGATAACTGTGCTTGCTTTGTTTATTCCACAGATATGTACTGAGTATCTACCATGTCTGAAAATATAGAAGAAAAAAAGAGGCCAGATTCATTCTTTTGGAGGAGAGGAAACAATGGATTAAAATAATGACAACTATCACTTATAATTCAGTGCTGTTCTACTGGAGGTAATTAAGTACCTGTGTTCTTACCCATACACCACAAAGACCTCTTCAAAAACACAGCCTCAGGGAATTTCTTTCTCTGTATCTTTGAGTTTGCTTCTACCTTGTATGTTCTCTAAAACAAATCCTGTACTGTGGCAGATAGTAATTCAAAGGAAAAAAAGTCTATTCCACGGACATAACATACCAGGTAACAGCAAGCCAAACTGACAACAGAGAAGAGAGCAGCAAGCAAACATAAGGAATACATTAGGCCCAGTGTTAAAAGTGCTGGGACCTGGGAGGATGGATGTCTAAGATTGCCACACTGCTGCATTTCTTTACAATGGTCCCTTGTCACTGGAAGTAAACTGTGTGTCCTTGACATCAAGCCAGTAGTGCCTAAAAAGTGGTAAAATGCTGCGAAGAGCGGGTGGATTCAAATCTTAGTTTTACTATTTACTGTGTGTCATATCAACAGTTATTTGATTTCCTTGCTAGTAAGAGAAAGACTATATAATGCTTGAAAGTGAACATGGAGAGGAAAGAATGTTTTTTATTACTGTAGTTCACGTTTTCCTCAATTATAATTCCTTTCTCCATTACGTTTGAAGCTTCTCAAGGACATGAGACACATCTATTGTGCTTACTATATTATGCCTTTGGCACCTGGTAGAAGTAACTACCTGATAGATATGTATTGAGTTGAATTATTGAGCTTAAATACCCTAAATGAAAATGTACATTATCTTCTAAATGAAAATGTACATTATCTTCTTTGTCCTCTGCCTATAAGTCAACCCTCAAAATAAAAATAATTTAAACAGGCATCATATCTGTCTGATGGTACATGCTTTAAAAAATAGATAGTGTTAGCCTTAAGTTGTGTTAATGCTCATAAGTCATAGGTAACCTCATGGAACAAGTATAGTCCTAAGTAAAAGGTTATAGTTCTAGATTGTAACTCCACTGTTAGCACTAACAAGCTGATAAACCCTGAGAAAATTAGCTGACCATCTCTGTGATTTTAAATGGAGATGATAGATACCTAACATCACAGTGACTGTGGAGAATAAATATATATGATAATACTTTGTAAATTATAAGGCGTTGACAAAGTTTAAGGCATTACATTTCCTCATTTTAAACATATACCAGGATAAGAGATTTAGTTGAAGTACGTGTCATGGTAGGGCAAAACATAATTATAGTTCCTACGATTTGAGTCTTAGCCCTAGCAAGGGACAATTCATTACCACACAGATCTCCCTGGTACCAAATGTCCCCCTGCACTAATTGATGGTGGGGAACAGGGCTTTGTCTTCAGTACAACACCTTTGACTCACAGAGCAGAGACCCTGTGAAGAGGTGTTGGAAAGCTGGTGCTGGGGAGGGTGGGGGGGTGGGAGAGGGGAAAGGTGAAGACTGATGGGGTGCAGAGGAGAGGAACTCTCATAATGCTCAAGGATGTTACAGAAGGCATGGTGCATTTTAGGAAACCCCAGGGGCAAAAGAGGGAAACGGAACCCAAACAGCCTAGAAGCACACCTGGGAGAATTCTAAGCTGTACTCGTTATAAATTCTTCAACCATATCCATTCATTAGATGCAAACATATTAAATAAAGTGGCCAAAGAGCAGTAGGCAATGGAGTAGGGTGAAACTTTGTAATCAGTAATGGAAATTTCTTGGGGTCTGTTAGGCAACAAATCAGCCTAGCATGAAGTAAGCATTTTATCTTATCTATCCCTAGCAGATAAGCTACCAAGGAGACTGAAGTTGTAAACACAAAGCTGAGTAGGTAATGGCTGACTTCCCAAACAGCTGCTCAGCTCCATATCGTCATCTAGAGGATGGATGCAGAATTGTTAATATGCTGATTGGTTATAATCATTTTATTTTCTAATTTGGGTAACTCATCCTACATTATCAACTCAGATACTCCGGTTGATGGTACATATCTTTCTGTCTAAACTGCTAAAAGATGAAAGAACATTTTTAAAAATGAAATCAAAACTCAGAAGCGCATCAAATGCTTTCAAGCATTCTATGAATGTGGTTAAAATGTGGTTATTAATATATCATATTAATAATATCATGGCAGTAAAATTATGTCATAATAAAAACCATTATTTTTTAGTGCTTGCCAATTTACTAGAAATTTTTCTTTAAATCGACTTACTTTAATTTATTTTGAAAAGGTTTGTAGCAACCATCTGTATGAAAACTTAGAATCACATAAAATAGTCACCTAAGTTAAATAAAAATAGAAGAAGGTGTTAAATTTAAATTAAATTTTCCTTGCCTCTGACTCTGAGACTTTCTCTTTGCTGAAATAAAGAAATCAGAAAGTGTCTTGCAAGGTATTAAAACTACAAAGAAATGCTGTCTAAGATAGAATACCCTGAAAGTAGTTAAAACATTTACAAGGAAACCAAGCCAGAGGAAGAGTTATTCCAGGAAGCTCAAGAGGAAGTAGCCGACAGAATTTCTAGACTGGATATTAGATGAAGTACTGTCCAGATTCAGGAAGAAAGTTCTAGATCTTAACTTCTGAATAAGGACCTAAACCTTAAAGAATTGTCCCTTACTGAAAGGGGACTGAGAGGCCCTATTCTGACTTTAATTTTCCTAGACTCTTGTGTGGAAAATAAAAGACAACAGGTGGGAATAGACACACTAACAGTGAAATGCCTGAGTCAAGTTGCATGATCTGAATGACACAGGGAAACCAACTCATGAAGTTAAAAATTAAAATAAGGGGTCTCCCTAGTGAAACAGCAGGTTAAAGCTCAGCACTAAGAAGATAAAGCCACTTCAGCATGAGTATGATCCCCGCCCTGGAGATGACCCACATGGCATGGCAGACCTCTCCTGGCAGACCTCTCCTGACCCGCCCACTGCTCTCCTCAGTAGTATACTTCATCAGTCACCCTGTCCTGCTCCCCACTCTTTCTGGTGAAGCCTCTTACTGCCCCTGCCCCTCTGGCCTGTACCCCAGTTCTGTATGCATAAATAAATCTTTTTTAAAAAAAAATTAAAATTCATCTAGGATCACTGAAGAATTAGAGCCACATGCTTCCAAAGAGTCACATCCAAAGATATGAAATCACTTGACAATGTCACTTTTACAATCTAGAATTCACTGAAAATCCAATTAGGGGAAAGAAAAACCCTGTGAAAGATGAGCTCACCTTAAAATAAAACCCACAAAATGACAAGCTATACCAGGGAAGAAACACTATGAGGGACTGCCCCCCAGACTCAGTAAACAGATAATTTAGCAATAAACACACCTTAAAAAAATCTGAGAGCAACTGTAACAATTTTACAATGACATGTGAAAGCACCGAGATTTGAGTTGTCAGGGCAGGGATTATCTCTTACCCTGAGTAGTCATGCTGCTTAAAAAAAGGAACATCTGTAAATAATAAAGTCCATAGTGAAGTGATTTTGAGATATTAGAAAATAATTAACCACAGGAAAGCAAATTTAGAAAAATTAATATAAAAACAGATTTTATGCAGAAAAGCATTATTAAGGCTTAAGAAAGATATTTAATGAAAAAAAATCCTTCAGATGATATGTTTATTTAAAACCAATAAGCTTTGAATGGTATAGCCAAAAGATAAATAGAAAACTGAATATAAGGAGAAGTTAATTTCGAGGGAAATTTGAATATACTCAAAAATTTATATTCAACCTGAAAAAACTGCTTATGAATTTAAAAGATCTGAGCAATATAATAATATAGCTTGATCTACTACATAGACCTGCAGGCAAAAAACCC